GTTTGTATGCGCAGTGAAAATGAAAAAATTAAGGTAGATGAATTGAGTGCGGATCAAACTTAAAAACCGAGTGAAACTACCAGCTAGCTTGCAACTGGAAGGTTGTTGTTGATAGATGTTGCCACTCCGAATACTTCGGAGTACCTCTACTTTTTACAAAGAGCGAAGACGAAAGGAATTTCGATTTTGACATGAAAAAGACAAATACTAATTTATTTGTGGGCATCAACTGCCGTTTTATTTAAGACAAAACGAATATGATTTTCTGTTTTTCAAATATCTAGCTTAATTTATGTTACATAAGAAGACTCGGATAAAGTTATTCATTAATGTGATAGACACATTTTAACAGCTGGAACAATTCGAATCAATTTCGTGTACAGAACTATGAGGAAGGATGTCTTCACACCAACTTCCTTTCTGTACAAGTATTATTCCTTCCAGTATGTGGTCCTCGACGCCAGCCAAAACTTGTATTGGGAAGAGAACAAATCTAAATAGATCTACAACCGATGAGCAATTTATAGCGGGATATTGCCATGCTTCTTTTTCGGATTTTTGAGCATTTTGGTTTCGAGCACGTTCAGATCCAAGCAAATGTGGCGGCGTGTTGTGTGCGGCTCGATGATATCGTCCACGAAACCTGCATTCAGTCTGATTTTAACTATGTAATATAAGGAAACAAAAAATGGTCTTGGATTTCGTTAGCATTCACCTGTGAAAGATGAGAAGGAATAAAAGGTATGTTAATGCCTGAACAAAATTTTTACTGAAACTCAACTAGTCAAAAACAGTCTCCATTCAGCCTAGGCTGGACTAAATAAATTCATTAGTAGTCTAAGTTTTTAGCCCAGCTGTCCTCGAGACTCACTTAAAGTACTCATATCAAATATGCCATACGTGGCCAGTAACAAAATGAGCTCGATCAGTCATGTTAAAATCTTGCAAACACGTTTGGAACTAATCAGAAGCGTAAAAATTTATTCCGCACGAATCTGCTCCATTCCAAATCTGCAGTATAAGCTTGGGCCGACTGCTTATTATCAAATTAGACAATTCACTCAAAAACACAGTTAAGTTTTTCTAAAACTGAGCACCCAAACATGATCAGTTAAGCTCCGAAACAGTGGAGAAATCGTATTTTAGTAAATCTAAGACCAAGCTGAATTAAAAATGACGTGAACTAGATTTAATCATAGCACGGTTTTACTACGCTTTTTAAATCAATAGAAATTGGTCTGTTGTTGAAAAACTCAAAATGAATAAAAAGGGTTTTGGCAATGAAAAAGATGGGAAGTACCTCGGACAGCTGCAGGGAACGGGTTGCTAAAGAGGTCAATATACTCTTCTTCGTGCTTCGCAGCATTTGCCTGATCGTGACGATACAAAATACTCACTGCACCCTGCAAATATAAAAATGTTTGCCAAATTTAGTACAAGGAATAATCAGGCAGATCAAAACTTTAATTCTGAAGCTTTTAATCGACTTCTTACGGCTGAAGAAAAAGAAAATGGCATGAAAGTAAGTGGCCTCAGGCGGGCATTTGACGTCATGGTAATTCGAGTCAGTGGAGGTAAATGCTTTTTTCATCAAATAACCCAGGCCGGAACGCATCAGGCTTGTCGGTGTGATCATGCTTTTTTTACTAAACTAGTACGTCACTAATAGCGGGAATGATACCTGAGCTGTAGCTTATCACTTCGGTCATATTGGCGTGCTTTGATCCTTTCCGGCATGCAAGAAGAAGGGTGTCAGTTGGGATGAAGGTGATGCATTATGGAGTCGCACGGACATTCAAGTACATGATTATCTGTTTTTGCATGAAGTCCGGCCGCTTTTTCGGCAAATACTCGCTTTGTGAAAAAATGACAAATGCAAATTTTTTGGAAAAATGCAAATTTGCAGCTCACTAAAAATTGGAACTGTTGCCCGAACGGTCGTTTGTCAAAAAATCCATGTTCATTTACCTATACGATTGCGGTTTAGGTCCGAGTTGCAAACGATTTTTGGGTTGACGAGCTGCTTGAGGCTGCGGTTGGGGGCTAAAGAGCTGAGTTTAAAATCCTTATCCCGCGCGTGCATAGAGAATATCCCTGCAAAGTTTCAGCTTTCTACCCTGCCTGGGTCGCGAAATCGTTTCTCGCCAACATATTTCTTTGGGGGTCCCGTACGCGGGGTCTAGGCGCGTAGAAAAGATCTTAAAACGGGAGGATGACACACGGGGTAGAAACATATACCCAAAGTTTCAGCCTCCCAGCTTTCCTGGTTGCTGAGATGAAAGTG